GTAATGTTTTTGAAAAAAGTCAGTAGCACTTTATTTTACAGTACGTGTACTTCCCTGGTACATACATGGCAAATATCTTGTACCTACAGGCAAATGAGTGGTAACACAAGGTACTTACCTGAAGTGTACATGGTAACAAATAAGAAACACGGCTGTACTTAACAGTCATACATGCAAGGTAATTATTTTGTACATACAGACAAGTGTGGGTACTTACAGGTAGTGCCCGTACATGGTAACTAATTAGATACTTTACTGTACTTACTAATTTAGATACATGGTAAATATGTAGTACTTACGGACAAGTGGGTACAAACAGGCACATCCTTACAGTATCCGTATATGGTAACTAATAAGACACATTACTGTACATCAGGGCTGTACGTTAACCTTTTTTGCACATAGCACTTGGCAGACATTTAGGCCAAAGTGGGCAAAGATAAAAATCCTTGTCATTATTTTATCTTTGTTAAGGACCCTTTTCATAAGACTGTGATGACGCGTTTTAACAGTCATCAAGCATCATAAATCCTCCAAAGTTTTTCAAATTTTCATTTTTTTTTTAAATGTATGTACATCTGTAACACTATATTTTGTATTATATTACCTTTGCATCAAATTACAAAAAAACTAATTAACGCTAATGCGAGGGTGTTTCTAATACTGTTTCTAGGAAAATGTATTCATCGCACAGACCAGTTTTTTCGTAGCACGTGCGACATACAGTATATGTACTGTACAGCCCTGCTTCCTTAGATTTTTCACTCTTTGTTATATTGCACAGGTAGTGTCAGTATATGGTAACTAATAAGACACATTACTATACTTACTAATGGTATATACATGGTAAAGTTTAACAAAGTTTGACGAACTGGTAATTCCTGTGTAATGTTTACGTAAAATGGTGCACTTTATTTTACAGTCCTATTTCCATATACTTACTATATACATACTGGTGTATGTACCTATTAGTTAATGTACATAATAAGTTATGCGGTACTCAAGTTGGGGGGAATAAACATGGACCAAGGTACTTATTGAGTAATTGATGGTATAGGTGTTATTAGTTACCATGTACGGGCACTACCTGTAAGTACCCACACTTGTCTGTATGTACAAAATAATTACCATGCATGTATGACTGTTAAGTATAGCCTTGTTTCTTATTTGTTACCATATACATACACTTCAGGTAAGTACCTTGTGTTACCACTCATTTGCCTGTAGGTACAAGATATTTGCCATGCATGTACCAGGGAAGTACACGTACTGTAAAATAAAGTGATAGGCTGTATTTATTTAAATTCAGTAAAAACCAGTAATATTGTGAAATATGAATACAAATGTAATTTTTATTTTACTACATTTTAAAATGTAATTTATTCCTTTGATCCTTACATGATCCCTCAGAAATCAATCTAATATGCTGATTTGCTGCTCAAGAAATATTTTTATCAATATCTTATTATCAATATTGAAAACATTTTTGTGGAATATGTTATATATTTTTTCAATATGAATAAAAAAGTTCAATATAAATAAAAAGTTAAAAAGAAAAGCATTTATTTAAAATACAAATCTTTTTAACATTATAAAAGTCTTTACTGTCACATTGGGTATATACTGTGTATATATATATATATATATATATACAGTATACACACACGCACACACACACACACACATACATATCTAGATCTATATATATATATATGAAGAGTTCATTTGTAAAAACCGATAAACGCCACTTCAAAAAAAATGAGCTGATTGTCGTGCATTATTCTCCACATATAGCGCGATCTGAACCCTAAACACGTTTTGTCACAAAAGCCGGTTTTGTCCACTGTCAAGGCATTGCAAGTTAACGTTTTACCTGTTGTTTGTGAACACAACCCGATAAGTCAGTTTTAGCAAATCGGGGCGCAGTATTCAGGTCAGGTGACAAGGCTGCTAGAAAACATGAAATGTGGAGTTATCTGCTTTTGCCAAAAAACGACTGTTGGAGTTATCTGCTTTTGCTATAAAACAACTTTTAATATGCAAAAAAAACATACTTCCAATAAACTTTAATTTTGTAAATTACCTGTATTTGTTTAAAACCATTCGAAACTATCGCCTTACTTTAGCCCGATTCACAATCGTCAGTTTATAATAATGTTTTCTAATTTGAGAGGTACGGGTAGGTTTTCGCTGGAAATTCGAGCATTCTGCTGCGTCATTACGTCACTTCTGTAAACATAAAGAAGTTGTTAGATTAAATCACCATTGGTAGTGCGATTTATTGTAATGCTTTTTTCCTCAGTTGGTCAGAACAAATGTGGCAGACTTGTCACTTACTTGTTCAGATGACAATATACGGTGAAAAAGCTTGAGTCATATATTCCAAGACATAGGCTAGAATCTGTGAGTGCAAAGTACAATATCCACACCGGTGCGGTGACTGACTGCCACAAATTCACCTCAAAACATTAGATTCATCCGCACTGGAGCCGTGCCGCCGGACAACCCACGCAAGGAAGATAATTCCGCACACAGCTGCAATTGCAGGTTTTCAAACAGAGATGGCGACAAAGAGG